TAATGGTCTTTACTTTGACTTATTAAATACCTTAGTATTTCAGAAAAACTGGATAAATAGACACTACAGGCTTGTGTGGCTCCCTACTCTTTTTTATTTTATGAGTTTCCGGCAATATAGCTACAAAGGAAAAACTAACAAAGGAACATTTCTCTCCATTCAAAGTGCTTCAAAAGATACTGCATTAACCTCAAACATTTAAAAAGACCGTCTTACCTTAGCACACTACATCATAGCGAGTCAGAGAAAATATTCTTTTAAGACCAAAATGATCATGGTTGCAAGGTACTACTTAGTTGCCAGCCTCCCCATATTCAATGGAACCTTGCTTCCAAGCACTAATCCCCCCATGTTTTGTTATGGTGGGCAAAACTAGAAGCTAGGCACACAAAAGGGCCAGCGTCAGCCAAGGGATGTACAGTAATTATGATGTTGCTTGGTTAGATGCAAATGATTACTTTTAAACAGCTCCAGTGAGGTTTTGATCTCTTTTTTGCTAGTTGTCCAGTACGAAAGCCAGCAACCAATGTCACCCTTTTCCCTGAAGTTATACCATTTAACACTCTCACGTCCACCGATGCTTAGAAACATCCTGATTTGCTTCCTGAATCACCACATTCTGTAAACCTCTATCCTATGGTCCAAGATTCAACAGCCTGAACTCTAAAGCCTCCCCTACATCTGATAGGCTCTTGAAGAAAACACACTGAACCGCTTAGACCCTCTTCCCCACGACACGCCACAAGTGCAGAAAAACGAAAACCACCGCCAGAGATTCAAGGTACAAGGAAGGGAAACTATTAAAATGAGCTCTGACTTAGAGTTACCTACAATTCTCCGGGTAGACAATGGGATGGAAGCTCAAGTTATGATCCAAGTGATACAAGAAACTAGATAGGAGCTAGAAGGGCCAGCAGATCAGAGGATGAAGCAAAAATTAAGGCCTTATTATAAGACTGCAAGTAAAAGCAGCTACTGGGAAGTTCCTATACCTGTGAAAGATCCGGAAAACACTCCTTGAGAAGACTCCCCTGTCCTCAAGAGAGGGAGAGAATGAGAACCATGGATACTTGTATGTGAGAGAGGGAGAAAAACAGAAGAGTAGAGCCTTTGGGGGTAGAAAGAATAGGAATCATTGTTCTAGCCGCCGCCCGCCCCCCCCCCAGAGACCCTAAAAGGATCATCTCTTGCCAGAGGTGGTGTCATTTCAGGGACAAAGGACAGGCTTTGCTGCCTACATCCCCCCCCCCCCCAATTCCTCCTAATCTATTTAAAATTCCTTTATGGATGACAAATCCACCACTTGGGGCAAAAACCAACCCTAAAGGGCGAATCTTTGGAGGAAGTCACAGAAACCTTGTTTACACCAAAGCGTTTTAAGACAAGTTTACATGACTGAGATCCTAGCATTTTCTGATTTTAATTAAAAGAGGTTTTTAAAAGGAAGAACCTACGTCTCTAAAAAATCACAGCAGAATGTAAATTCTAAAATGAAAGCATGTATTACATGAGTCGGGGGAGGAAATGAACAAGCAAAAGGAAAAAAAATAGAAATCTGGGGCCAAAAACAAACCACCTTTTTTACTTTCAATAGTCCACAGACAAGCATCAAATGTGGCAGAAATAAGACTCAAAGTATACCTTGAACACTGGTTTTATATTAATACATTAATCCTGGCAGTTTTTACCTGGAACAAGGAAAAATACATGATTTAGGAACTTCCAAGGTATATTCCTAAACCAATTTTGGTTACCACAAATCAAAAGAGAAAAAAGTTATTTTATATACCTATGTATCAAGAGCAACAGTGAATTTTCCCCTTAAATTCCCCAGGTCTACAATGACAGGTGCCCTGACTTAGAACAGTTATTGTTCTAAGCCCTGGGGGAGGTAGCAAACAACTCAAAATCCCTGTCCTCATAGAACTTCCAGTGAGGAGGAGACAGACGACAAACAGTAAATGCTGCAGAAAAACAAAGCAGTGAGTAAGAAGGATAGGTTGTAGGGGCAGAGTACTTCTCATGGGTGATCACCAAAAAGTCTTTCTGATAAGTTACATCTGAACAAAGACCTAAAGGAAATGTGAAAGCAAGCCACACAGATTTCTGCGAGAAGAGCAAAGGCTCGCAGGTGGAGTGTGCCTGACCCTATCAAGAAAGATCAATAAGAATAGCGTGACTGAAACAGAAGAAGCAAGGAGAGTATTAGAAATGAAGTTAAAGAGGTAAGGGAGAGAAGACACATCATGTAGGATATTAAAGGTAGACCACAGTCTTGGTTTGCTCAAGATAGTCCCGGTTTATGCCTGTCGTTCTGCCATTGCTATTAATAGCACCACCTTTCATGCTCAAAAGTGTCCTGACTTGGACCATAAATTTTATGGTCACTCTCTATATAGGTGACTATAAAAAGTTTTTACTCTAAGTGCGATGGGGAAGCACGGGAAAGTTGTGAGCAAATAAGTTTTAAAAGGATCATCCTGGGGCTTCCCTGATGGCGCAGGGGTTGAGAGTCCGGCTGCCGATGCAGGGGACGCGGGTTCGTGCCCCGGTCCGGGAAGATCCCACATGCCGCGGAGCGGCTGGGCCCGTGAGCCATGGCCGCTGAGCCTGCGCGTCCGGAGCCTGTGCTCCGCAACGGGAGAGGCCACAACAGTGAGAGGCCCGCGTACCGCAAAAAAAAAAAAAGGATCATCCTGGCTATTTTATGGAGGAAAAACCGTAGAGGGGCAAGGGTAGCAGCAGAGGCCCCAGTTAGCAGACTACTGCAGTAACACGAGCAAAGGATTAACACTTGATGGAAACGTTGAAAAGTGGTCAGATTCTGAAGTCAGAGATGACAAGACTTGCTAATGTACTGAGTGTGGGATTGGAAGAAAGAGGAGCCAAGAATTACTCCAAACTTTCTGGCCTAAAAGCATCAAAAGGAAGAATGGAGGTACTATTTAGTGAGATAGGAAAGTTTTGGGGGCATCGAATGGAATCAGCAGTTTGGTTCTGGACTTGGTCCAGAACTTGCCCATTAGGTACTTAAACGTAGGCACCTGGATACAGAGTCTGCAGCTCAGTGGAGGCGCCTGTGCTGGAGAAATAAGTATGGGAATCATCAACCTATAAAGGGTGCAGGATGAAGTATAAAACTATATACTTATTCTACAGCAATAAAATGTTTCTTTTCGGGCTTCCCTGGTGGCGCAGTGGTTGAGAGTCCGCCTGCCGATGCAGGGGACACGGGTTCGTGCCCGGTCCGGGAAGATCCCACATGCCGCGGAGCGGCTGGGCCCGTGAGCCATGGCCGCTGAGCCTGCGCTCCGCAACGGGACAGGCCACAACAGTAAGAGGCCCGCGTATCACAAAAAAAAAGTTTCTTTTCATAACTAAGTCCTGAAACAGTAACAACAACACAATTCAAAGAAGTGCTACAAATGCCCTATGGAGAAACAAATTATACAAATTACCCAAACACTGACGGCGGCAGTTTTCAACAGTTTCCCATAGCTCTACATAGGACGGGTACATGATATCTTCTCATGGATACTCAAATTCTTATGAAATCCAACAACTAATGGTGCAGAGAAGTATATTACCACAATAATCCCTCATCATGACAGCTATTTAAGTTTCTCATTACACGGGCGCGGGTGGGGAGGCTTCTTTCTGTAAAGTACAGTGTATCAAAATTCTCAGAATGATGTTTTACAGGAATAAGTGGAGCCTATTCTAATTCTTTAAGTCATCTGCAAAAAAAAATATTTTAACAGTCTCTAGCAACAAAGTACTGTGACACTGCACAGCCTAATACCTACATACTCGTGTATTTCAACTGAATACACTGATCTGGAGCCTACCAATAGATAAAAGATAAAAACGAATCTAGATGAAAACTAGTAACTCTTACTTTTTCTGAACATGAATTTAAAAGTGTAAAACAGCAATTCAAGTATATATACCCCTAAATTTTAGTTTCTTCACACACGTGAAAATCTTTACAGTGTATTCCGATCCTATTCTGAAGAGATTAACACCCTAATCATGTCGCAAGGCATTTCACCCGGTAACTTGGTGATTTACAAACTCCGTTCATACCCCAAGAGACAATAACAGCAGGCTAGTTACAAAACAATCTTACACTAAATGCGTGAAGACTTCAGTCCCAAACGTTCCAGAAAAACAAACAAACTTGGAATCCAAAATTTCACATTATTTTATACACAATACATCTCCTGAGTTCAAACTTTGTCAGGAGTAATTACAACCCACATTTAAAATGTACCGTAAGAAGCTGTAAAACAATTTCTCACCTTTGGGTTTTTTGGGGGGATTTTTTTGTAACTCGAATAGTATGTATTCCTAAACCGTAATCTTGGGGTCTGGGCTAGAAAGCTTCCAACCAAGAAATCAATAGGGTTCAGCTGGCAAATCGAGCAAAAATTCCAAGGACTGGCTTTTCAGGGAGTCTAACAACGTGCATAATTCACAAGTCTCGGCTGCTTCATCTCCAGAAAGACCCCAAACGCAAAGCTTCTCCTCCACCTCCGCTGGGCCCCAAGAGTTCAAAAATTCTAGACTAAGCAGTCCAGCAAAGAGGAGAAAGCAGCAGCCTTTTGGGGAGAAGGAGGTGCGAACCTCTCAGCCGGCTGGGCGGGAAGGGGGGGCTGGGGAGCAGGCGTGGATTTCGCGGCACTTACAGATCAGTCAGCACCATGAGCTCCGAGTAGGCCCGGTGCAGCAGAAATTCGATGAGGGTGCTTAGCCGGTAGCCAGGGCTAGCCGCCGCCGCAGCGGCCGCCGCCACGGCGGCTCCCGGAGGAGGAGGCGCCGGGGCTGACGCGGGGCCGCTGCTGCCCCCTCCGCCGCCTCCGGGCGGGACCAGCTGGTTCTCCAGCTGCACTGGGGCCATCGCGGCGCAGAACCGGGCTTGGCGCAGCGGCAAAAGATGCGGACCTCGAGTCTCCCTCCCGGGCGCTCGGTCACCGCGCCGATGTGGGCGCGGGCGGAGTCGCCGCCGCCGCCGCCGCCGCCGCCGCCGCCGCCGCCGCTTACTACCGCCAGGCCGCCTCTGAACAGGAAGCCGTGCGCCGGCCGCGGAGGCCCGCCCCCATGTAGCGACAAGCCCGCCGGCTCCAGGGACTGGAGCAAGGGGCGGGGGGGGAGGGGGCAGGGGGGAGGAGGGAGGGCGGGGAAGCGGGGCGGGCGCCGCAGAAAAGCTGCGCTCCCGCAACCGATCAGATGCAGCTCCGCCAGGCAGCCGCAGCATCCATGTTGTTGACTGCCCAAAGCGGAAGTTGTTAGGCAGTACTGAAGGGGAGCCAAAGGGGAACTTCCGACAGCAACCTGTGCCTTTTCTCCCTGCTGTTGGGCGCGCGGACGCTGGGGGGCGCGTGGGAGTGGGGCGGGGCCGGCGCGCTGGCGGGAAAAGCGGAAGCGGGGGCCGGGCGCCCCCGGAAGTGGATGTGAGGGCGGGGCCGGTGCGAACGTCAGCAGTTGCTGCGCCCTTGCCCTCTCCGCCCTCTGGGATTTAAAAGCCTCCAATTTGCGCTGAGGTGTCGATCAACGCTCCCCAGGTGGGTGCAACACGATCGGGAGGCCACCCCATCCCAGATGTTTGTGACTTGTGGTTCTGGACTCGCAAATTGTTGCGGCTGCGTGCTTCTGACTTCTCAGATCTTTGCCCCGCCCACAGTCTGCCCATGCGCCTTTCGTGGGATAGAAGACGTTTCCGTCATTTTTTTTTTTAAACTGTGGGAAAAGATTCGAGAAAATCTGATTAGGGGTAGGAGCAGGGCCACTGGCAGAATAACCTCACTTTAACGGAGTTGAATATATGCTGAGTTCTTTACCGACCCCCAAATCCTGGCAGTTCTACCACGGAAACAGCCCTTAAATCCTCTACCGCTGATTCTCCCACTTGGTTCTTGTCCCTGCCCTTGAAGTAGCCGCCCTGCCTTCCAAGGACTTTCAGTTCATCTTCTGTGCCCTACTGCCACTTTTTCTCCCCTCATAATTCACGTTTAATAATTTTGCTTCCTGCGTTAAAGCGGCGATTCTCAACCTTGCCTGCACGTTGGAATCTTGGGCGGTGGAGGGGTGGGTGGCTTTAAAAAATATTTATGCCACCCCCACCCCCAATACATTCGACTTTAATTGGTCTGGGCTTCAGGATTTTTAAAAGCTTCCTAAGTGATTTTAATGTGCAACCGTTTAAAAGCGTCAATTGCTGCGACCCTTTTCAAACATCTATTTGCAGATTCTTATCTGTAACTCTTAGGTGTAAGAGATGCACATGCTGTTCCCTAAGGTTAAAATACTCTCATTCTTGTCCACTTGTGTAATTCTTAGTCGTTCTTGAAGACCATTCACCTGTCTTTTGAGGGTGTAACTTTTGGAGTGTAATTAATCACTTGCTCCCTCTTTTGTGATCCTAAAGCACATTTACACAAACAATACCATCATAGTACTCAGCAAAAGACATTAGATTACTTACACCCCCACCCCCACACACACAGGTACAGTTGCTGGAGGGCAGATAACCTCCCTAAGATTCATCCCTATGCTGCTACCTCAGGAAACAAACACATTGTTTCTAAGTTAGTTAGAATGTTACCTTTTTTTTTGCAGTTGTTTTGATTTGTTTTACTGAAGGTTCTTTTTCCTCTTCTGAAAACTATTGACTTCACTTAAAACGCCGTGGTGGTCACATACACACAAGATGTACAAGATGGTCCTTAAGGTCTTTTCTAATACTCACATTCTGATTCTGTGTGATGTTGATGGGATTTTAACTCTGCCTTATTGCATTTATTAAACACAGTTATACACCATGCCTCTTGGTATTCATTCTATTTGGCAGTAAGATTCTACCTAGAGAAATTACAACCAATTTGCAAATAAAAAAAAGTAATGGGTGGATGGGGGTTGTTTTAGAAAAGAGGAATTTTCACCGGCATCCATCGGGTTAGATATTAATGAAATTTCTGTGAGTCTGAATACGTATCTTTAAAAATTGAAAAGTACTGGTTATTAAAAACGATATTCTAATGGAAAATAGGGTGAAAATACAAGAATAGAACTGTGAGACTTGATGTGCTTGAATTGTTGGAGATCGGGAGGTAATTTAAATGAAAACTGAAAGTTATAGCGCACCTCCCAACCTGATAGTACAGACAATTAAGCAAATATAGGAACTGCTAATCGAAAAAATGACTAAGGAAGGAGAGAAAATGTTAGCATGTTTGGCTGAGTTTCTAAAGGAATGGCTCATACCCAAACTTTTGGAAACGGTGTAATTTATCATTTTAAAGCCTACAGTACAATGTTTGGCACTGTAGCATAAATACCTAATTTTTCATTCCCACTCTTCAATTGTTGCTCTATTTGGTCATCACCAGATTCTATCACACCTGAGATAATTTCAGAACTAGCAGCATATTTCCTCAGCTCCTAAATCAACCTAACACTTTAGATCTTTCATGAAGTCAATCTGATTTTAATGAGGAACAATTTGACTGCAAAATATGGGGAAAAAAGAACATTTCCTTATAAGCCCTTTTGATGGAACATTGAAAATTTGATACATATACAGTTGACCCTTGAACAACTTGGGGGTTAGGGACACAGACCCTCCTTGCTGTCAAAAATCCATGTATAATTTATAGTTGGCCCTCCCTAACTGGAATTTCTCCTTATCTGCTGTTCTGCGATTTTCAACCAACCTCGGATCATGTAGTAACATTTACTGAAAAAAAAAAATCTGCATATAAGTGGACCCATGCACTTCAAACCCATGTTGTTCAAGGGTCAAATGTAGTTTCCTTTTGAAACATACAGCTGCCCCTCAGACACAAAAGTCTGGGAAAGGAAATGAAAAGTATTTTTTCTTTCTTTTTTTTATGATATTACAATCAATTCCTCCAAAATGGAGAGCAAAAGCAGTAACTGCTTTCATTTAAGAGATGCTCCTTTCATAGTGAAGTTGAGGGAAGGAACTCACTGTGAGTATGGTCTGACCAACCTAGAAAAAATGAGAACACTTGGATGGCTTTGCATATAGAAGAAAACCCAAACTTCTTAGTGTAGTCTCTAAAGCCATTAACACAGTGGTCCTTGCCTGCTTCTCCACCTCCATCTCCTGCCACTCTTTCCTTCATTCACTTCACTGTAACTTCACTGGATCAAGTACATGCCATTCCCTAAGGTGTTAGGGCTTGTCTACTGTTCCAGATACCTGAAACACTGGTATCCCAGCTCTTCACGTGGCTGGCTTCTCATCCTTCCAGTATCAGCTTAAATGAGAAAATCCTCAGAGAGGCCTCTCCTGACTCTATGATACTAGGCAGGTACAAGGAAGTTCATCGCAACGTTGTTTGTAGAAGCAAAAAAATAAGAAGAATCTCAACTGTCTCTCAGTAGGAGAATGGATACATAAATTACTGTATTTCTACATACCTCTGTAATTGAATAAATTAGACCTACATGTACCAACATGGAGACACCTCAAAAACAATATGGAATGGAAAAAACCCCATCTTTTTGATACCATTCCTATTTTTAAAGCACACAAAATACTCTATAATTTAATATATCGTAGACAAAGTAAAAAATGTAAATGAGGCTAATAGACACCACCTTCAGGATAGTAGTTACTTCTAAGGAACGGTTAGGGATGAGGTGATGCTTTTTATTGGTTATTAGCTATTAGTTATATCTAATGGGTTTCTTGAAGAACAACCTGAAGGAAATGTGACAATATTAATATATGTTAAATCTGGGGATAGAGATATGATTGTTAATATATTCTGCACTTTTCAATACTTTTGAAATATTTCATAATTTTTAAATTTTTAAATTTTCTATTAGTATTATTTACACAAGCTGCCATAACGAACACCCCACCAAATCTCAGTAACTTAGCACAGAAAGGGTTCATTTCTTGTGCTCACAAAGTTCAGTAAAGATGTACCTGATGGAGAGGCTCTCCTGTAAGTAATAACCTACAGATACAGTCTCTTTTCATCTTGGGAAGCCATCGCTCTAACCTGGAGATTTTTTTTTTTTTATATATCCACCCACATTCCATCAGCCAGAATTAGCCACATGGCTTGTTTAAAAGGCCAGGGAGCTGGGAAGTATAGTCTTCCTGTGTGCCTAGGAAGAAAATGAAATGGTTTGGTGAACAAATAACATTGTTTTTACCACAATATTAAGGTAGTCTTTTTTTCTTAGAGCACAACATCTGAAATCAGACCACTTAGAAAAAGATCCTAGCTCAACCACTTATGATCTTAATGCTTTCCAGGAAGTTACTTCATTTCTCTGGGTTTCTCAGTTTGCTCATCTGTAATAATAGTATTTACCTCAAAGGATGATTATGAAAACTAAATGATGTTTATTCTTTCTTTAATTTTACTGAAATATAGTTGATTTACAATGTTGTGTTCAATTTCTGCCATACAACAAAGTGACTCAGTTATACACACATATGTTCTTTTTTTTTTTTTTTTTTCGGTACGCGGGCCTCTCACTGTTGTGGTCTCTCCCGTTGCGGAGCACAGGCTCCGGACGCGCAGGCTAAGCGGCCATGGCTCACAGGCCCAGCCGCTCCACGGCATGTGGGATCTTCCCGGACCGGGACACGAACCCGTGTGCCCTGCATCGGCAGGCAGACTCTCAACCACTGCGCCACCAGGGAAGCCCACACATATATTCTTTTTCATATTCTTTTCCATTATGGTTTATCACAGGATATTGAATATAGTTCCCTGTACTATACAGTAGGGCCTTGGTGTTTATTCATCCTATATATAATAGTTGGCATCTGCTAATCCCAAACTCCCAAACCCTCCCTCCCCCATGTCCCCCACACCACAACCACAAGTCTGTTCTCTATATATGTGAGTCTGTTTTTGTTTCATAGATATATTCATTTGTGTTTTCTTAAAACTTATTGAAAACTGACATTTTTTTGAATTTTATTTAATTTTTTTATACAGCAGGTCCTTATTAGTTATCTATTTTATACATATTAGAGTATATATGTCAATCACAGTCTCCCAATTCATCCCACCACCACCACCCGTCCCCCCCCCGGCACGTTACCCCCTTGGTGTCCATACGTTTGTTCTCTACATCTGTGTCTCTGTTTCTGCCCTGCAAACTGGTTCATCTGTACCATTTTTCTAGGTTCCACATATATGCATTAATATAGGATATTTGTTTTTCTCTTTCTGACTTACTTTACTCTGTATGACAGTCTCTAGGTCCATCCACGTCTCTACAAATGACCCAATTTCATCCTTTTTATAGCTGAGTAATATTCCATTGTATATATGAACCACATCTTCTTTATCCATTCATCTGTCGACGGCACTTAGGTTGCTTCCGTGACCTGGCTATTGTAAATAGTGCTGCAATGAACATTGGGGTGCATGTGTCTTTTTGAATTATGGTTTTCTCTGGGTGTATGCCCAGTAGTGATATTGCTGGGTCATATGGTAGTTCTATTTCTAGTTTTTTAAGGAACCTCCATACAGTTCACTATAGTGGCTGTGTCAATTTACATTCCCAACAACAGTGCAAGTGGGTTCCCTTTTCTCCACACCCTCTCCAGCATTTGTTGTTTGTAGATTTTCTGATGATGCCCATTCTAACTGGTGTGAGGTGGTACCTCATTGTAGTTTTGATTTTCATTTCTCTAATAATTAGTGATGTTGAGCAGCTTTTCATGTGCCTCTTGGCCATCTGTATGTCTTCTTTGGAGAAATGTCTATTTAGGTCTTCTGCCCATTCTTTGATTGGGTTGTTTGTTTTTTTAATATTGAGCTGCATGAGTTGTTTATATATTTTGGAGATTAATCCTTTGTCCACTGATTCATTTGCAAATATTTTCTCCCATTCTGAGGGTTGTCTTTTCTTCTTGTTTATAGCTTCCTTTGCTGTGCAAAAGCTTTTAAGTTTCATTAGGTCCCATTTGCATATTTTTGTTTTTATTTCCGTTACTGTAGGAGGTGGGTCAAAAAAGAGCTTGCTGTGATTTATGTCAAAGAGTGTTCTTCCTATGTTTTCCTCTAAGGGTTTTATAGTGTCTGGTCTTACATTTATGTCTTTAATCCATTTTGAGCTTATTTTTGTGTATGGTGTTAGGGAGTGTTCTAATTTCATTCTTTTATATGTAGCTGTCCAGATTTCCCAGCACCACTTATTGAAGTGACTGTCTTTTCTCCATTGTATATCCTTGTCTCCTTTGTCATAGTTTAGTTGACCATAGGTGTGTGTGTGTTTATCTCTGGGCTTTCTATCCTGTTCCATTGATCTATATTTCTGTTTTTCTGCCAGTACCATATTGCCTTGATTACTGTAGCTTTGTAGTATAGTCTGAAGTCAGGGAGTCTGATTTCTCTAGCTCTGTTTTTTTTCTCAAGATTGCTTTGGCAATTTGGGGTCTTTTGTGTCTCCATACAAATTTTAAGATTTTTTTTCTAGTTCTGTAAACAATGCCATTGGTAATTTGATAGGGATTGCATTGAATCTGTAGATTGCTTTGGGTAGTACAGTCATTTTCACAATATTGATTCTTCCAATCCAAGAGCATGGTATATCTCTCCATCTGTTTGTGTCATCTTTGATTTCTTTCATCAGTGTCTTATAGTTTTCTGAGTACAGGTCTTTAAACTCCTTAGGTAGGCTTATTCCTAGGTATTTTATTCTTTTTGTTGCAGTGGTGAATGGGATTGTTTCCTTAATTTCTCCTTCTGATCTTTTGTTGTTAGTGTATAGGAATGCAAGAGATTTCTGTGCATTTATTTTGTATCCTGA